AGAGTCCGGGTGGTTGAATATCAGATTGTTCCATCTCATTTCCCTTTGGGGTTGCTGTAGGTGATCCAGAAGTCTGTTTTTGAGACTTGTTTATGTGTCTTCTCATTTCCACAGGGTGGAGGTGCTTCTGTCACCCACGTGGCTCACCTTCTCTGCCCTAGGAGCTTGGGATGGCAGCGGGGGAGCTTCCTTCTGGGTTCTAGGACTAGCTCAGCTTCTCTACCCTAGGAGCCTGGGATGGAGGCAGGGAGCTTCCTTCCAGGTGCTGGGACTGGCTGAGCTTCTCTACCCTAGGATCCTGGGATGGAGATGGGGAGCTTCCTTCTGGGTGCTGGGACCAGCTGAGCTTCTCTGCCCTAGGAGCCTGGGATCTATCTGTTATATTTTCTGTGAACCCATTCAGAATCTTATTGATCTGTATTTTAATCTCCCCTGTAATCTTTTGGAATAATTTGACTGTGTGTCTTTTGCTTTTTTCCCCTTTGATGCCCCTGGATCAGCTTTGGAAATATTGGGAGTTTTGAGAGGCATTTTGTTGCCTTGTCTTCTCATTTTTGTATTGTTTTTTGTTTGGTTTTGTTGTTTTATGTTTAGACATGTGGTTGCTTATAATGAAAATACTTTGTTCCTAGTATGGAAGTCTCTTTAGTTAGTCTGTTTTTCAGTGATGCATTCAGAGTGTGGCTAACTATAGTTCTTTGCCTCTGTTCCAAGATCTAACCACCTCTATTAATATGGAGTGTGGCAGTTCAGTGTAATTAGCCTAATGTCCAGCTCTCTGTTAATGGACCACAGTATTGTTAATGTCACAAAGGTAATCTAGGTATTGCCATACAGAGAAAACCTATTAATATCAACAACTATGTGACCATGGCAATATCAAGTAAATAAGCAATGGTAATATCTTCCAAGACAAACTAGATATTGACATAAGTACCAATAATGTACCACCCTTAACCTTAGAAAAGAAATCTACAATTATAGTATAAATCCTAAGGTAAACCAAACATTGACATACAGGGTACATCTACTAAATGTGATAACTATACCTCTATTAATGATAGGAAATAATTCAGCAGTAGTAGCATAGAATTAAGTATGTGAAGATTAATGAAGCTTAATGTTTGTATTATTAAAGATATCAGATTTGGGAATGAGAGAATGCAAGAAGAAAAATTTGAAAATTTGAACAATGGGAGAGGACAAGAAGGAGAGAAAAGTGCTAAGAAGGAGCCTATTATGGAATAGAAGGATACTTATAGAATTATATAAAGGAAACAAAAAATGAGAAGTAGAGGTTAAAAGAAAAAAGGGAGGAAAATGTGGAGAACAGAACAGAAAAATAAAAGGAAAAAAGAAAAGAAAAAGAGAAAAAAGGAGTAAGAAAAAGAAGAAAGAAAATTAGTGCACAAACAGTGAAAAATGTTTTCTCTGTATTTTTGAACGAGTAGTTTCTTTCTAGGATCCACAGTTTTGGAGTCAGCAGGTCTCAGTTTTCTTCACCTAGCCTTATGGGCTGTGGGTTTGTGAGGGGCACCCCTTATACCAGAGGCCCCTCTTTTGTTTTTTGATACCCGGGATGGAACTTGGGACCTTGTGCTTATGAGGCAGGTGCTAGAACCACTGAGCTAAATCCCCGGCCCCAGAGGCCCCTCTTTTTACCCCAGGTTGTGATAATGTCCACACTGAGATGTGTCCTTGCCCACATTGGTGGATAAGGAAGGCAATCAGGCTTCAGATCCGTGGTGGATGTAAGCAGCAGTACAAAGGCTCAAGTACTTAATGGTGGTAGGCACTTTTAGACCCAGCTGTTTCTGAGTGCAATTCAAACTGGACCTGGCTTCTCACTGTGGGGCATTGGGCCTGTGTCCTTTCCAGCCTGAATTTAAACTTCTTGGAGGATCTCTTTCTAGCCTGCTCCCTTTTTGTGGCTGTCTCCTGTGGCTGTTTTGCATCCAATCACTGTGGGAGGGTAACACTAGGAGCCCTGAAATGAGTTGTTTTTAGTCTTTCTGAGCCCCCAATTTAAATAATCAACTCCTTCCTGCAATGGCACTTGATCAAGCACTCTCTGAGTGCCCGCACTGAAGTCCCTTTCTGGTTGTTCCCTACTATAGGGGAAGGAGTCCCCTCAGAGCAAAACCCAGTGATTTTTTTGCAGTTCACAATGGCCATGACCTCTACTGCCATTTCTCCTGGGATCTTCCAGCCCTGGGTGCTTACCTTGTTTCTAGGGAGCCAGATTCCTCTCCCTGCAAGCCTGGAGAGCCAGGAAGAGAGTCTAAATTGTTTCCTGTTTTGCATTGTGGGTCACCTTTCCAACTTCTCTGTAGCTTCTAATTTTCTTTCATCTTCTGGTCATCTGCTTCTTTTTTTCTTCACCAAGTTTTTTTAGAGTCTGGATTTCAGATCTCAGAGAGGCTGAATTTTGCTACCAATCACCACTCTGCCAATTTCTTTCTTCCTATAACATATAATAGGTACACATTTATTCATTATTCCTTTTTCATGCAAATGTTTACTGTAGATCTACTGTATACAAAGAACTTGGCTAAACCCTGTGGAGAACATAGATATAAATAAATCATGAACCCAGATCTAAAGCTCACAGTCCATGAGAAAGATATATCACTTCTCTGCCTGGGCAACCATCATCCTTACAGCAACTCTCCAGTCTTCTTTACACCTTTATTTTTAAAAATTTTTAAAAATTTTAATTTTTTTTTGGTACTGAGGATTGAACCCTGGATCTTGTGCTTGTGAGGCAGGCGGTGGAACCACTGAGCTAAATCCCCAGCCCTTCATTACACCTTTATTGCTTCTCTTCTATCTGGGTAGTAATTTCTATTAAAGCCAGGCAGTTCTTAAAAGATAGTGTCATGTTTTTATTTTTTTGGAAGCACTTACATATCTGATGTAATTCAATGTGAATAAATGTAAGGTCTTAAACTTACACTTTAAATCTCAACAATAGAGATGATGACAAAAATGTGGTTTTTGGGTGGCAAATATACAAGTGGCTTCAGAATCTTACCTGGGTGAAAACTGAGTAAGAATTGGTGACCAGTTTAGGTTATTTTACTAGTGGAGTGTTCAGAACAAGGAGTTATGGTCCCACTTTTTTTCTGCACTAGCCAGACCACATGAAAATATTATGTTCATTTAAGATATTTTTGATTAACTGAAGAATAATCATGGAACATACAAAATAAGTACATTAATAATAATTAATATAAAACTAATATATTAATAAATGTGTGAACTTATTTCATAAACCTTTTTAAGCTTCTTTCGAGGGTAGTTGAGGAGGAAGAGAGTTACATTTCAGCAAAACCAATGTCATTGGTGAAATATTCAGCTAGACTATTGAACTCTGCTATTTCACGGCCACATGTTTTCTCCTAATTTTGGTCAGCTGTCTCACAGTTGAGTGGACTTGGGGACAAGGTAGACCCCAGGGAGATATTGTGAATGCACAAGGGAAAACTGATCCCTAATCCACGAAAAACTGTTCAATGAGAACTTTGAATTCACCTGTTTAACATGATTTCATTAAATAAATATTTGGGGAAGAAAGGGCAGGAACAGAGATGAAAAGAAGAATGAAAGGAAAAGAGAAAAGGAAGGGGAAAATAAGGAAAGTATTTCACAAATAATTTGCAGTAATAAAAATGACTTATCTGGGAATTTTTATTGCCAGAGAGTGCGAATATAGAAAAGAAATGCCAGGTGGGAATGAAGACCCCTTTCCCCAGTGGTTATTCTTTGAAAGGAAGTTGGATAACAGCATTTTGCAAACAAACCAAGTTCAATACAGCAAAAAGTATAAATGACTGCTTACAAAGAAAACTTGTTTACCTCATGGGAGATTCAACACTACGCCAATGGATTTACTATTTTAAAAATTTTATGAGAAGTATGTATTTTATTTTTATTTTGAAGTTATAGTTGATTTTTGAAGTTCTAAAAAATAATGATTAGAATTTTTTACTTTTCTTTTGTGATCTTTGTTTTGTTATTATTTTTAATTTACCAAACCTGACTCTGGGCTTTAAATAAAAAGTTAAAATTTACCTTTTCAATCACAGACATTAATGCTATTCTATTCTTTCTCGTCATGTATTCTGTAAAAAAATCAGAATTTATTAATATTTCAATGCTTCCAGTAAAATTTTCTGCTTTGCACAAACAGCCATTCTCTAGTAAGAAGTGATGTTGGTTAGAACTTTTCAGATGTTTTATACGTTTTAAAGTTGCATCATTTTCCCTTTGTTAAAAGATTTATTGATTTGTTTTCCATCAGCCTTAAAATATTTTGATCATCATGGAACTGGGGTCTTTAAAACACATATTCTTCTGGATGTTGAAAGACACATTTTGATCCAATGGAGAAAACATAGTCATCCATTTGTTACCCAACAGAGGTTCTCACTGAAAGATGAAAACTATATCCCAAGGGAAATTGACCAAGTGGCAGGAGACAAAGACACAGCAATTGTCATCACCATTGGCCAGCACTTCAGACCCTTCCCCATCAGCATCTTCATCCGCAGGGCTATCAATATTAAAAAGGCCATTGAACGTCTATTCTTACGAAGCCCGGAAACCAAGGTGATACTTAAAACTGAAAACACCAGAGAGGTACATCAAAATGCAGAGATGTTTAGTGACTTTCATGGCTATGTTCAGAATCTTATCCTGAGGGATATTTTTGTGGATCTCAATGTGGGTATTATTGATGCCTGGGACATGACAATAGCATATTTCAGTAATAATGTGCACCCACCTGATTATGTTATCGCAAATCAGATTGGCATATTCTTAAACTACATTTGCTAGAGGAAAAATACATAAAAATAGCATTACCCATTCTCAATCAATGATTTCACATATACTGCAAAAATAGTTTAATGCAATCCAAGGTATGAGAAAATAAAATTCTTAAAAAATTTCAGTTATAGTTAAGAATATATAACATAAAATTTACCATTGAAACTATTTTAAGTGTACAATTTAGTGGCATTAAGTACATTTACAATGTTGTGCAACCATCATCTGATCCATTTCCAGAATGTGTTTATTATCTCAAATAGAAACTGTGTACCTATTAAACAATAATTCTCTTATCTCCTTCACCCCTATCCACTAGAAATGTTATTATATTTTCTGTCTATTCATTTGACTACTCATATAAATGAAATCATATAAAGTATCTGTCATCTTGTGTCTGGCTTATTTTACCTTAACAGAATGTCCTTAAGATTCATCCATGTTGTAGCATGTATAAAAACTTACTTTAAAAAATGAATTAATGTTATTCCTTTGCATATAACACATTTTGCTTATCCTTTCATCTGTTGGAGGACATTTGAGTTGTTTTCACCTTCTGCACACCTGTGAATGATGCTGCTATGAAGAAGAAAACAAATTCTGTTTTAAAATTTTTTTGTGTGGTAGTGGAAATTGAACACAGGACCTCCCTCATTCTAGGCAAGTGCTTTACTACTGAGCTAAAGCCCCAGCCCTCAAATTTTGAAAACATGTCTCCAATGCTGAGCTTGAAGTCTATCTAAATAGTATACTGTCATCATCCAAAATTTAATTTTAAGAAAGATACCACCCATAAATGCATAGCTGAAATGATTTAAGTTGAGAGAAAATGTGATTTATATAGGACTATAATAGTACTCTTTTTAAAAGGGGCAAAGGGGAGGGGGAAGTGGGAGGAGTAGGGGAAAGGAAAGAAGGGAATGGAATTAATATGAAAAAATGAAAAAATGGCAACAAAATCTTTGTAAATAGGGAGGGATGGAGGGGTTGAAGGGAGGGC